GCCCTGGCATGACCTCACATGAGGGCCGCCCCCTGAGCTGGGCCTGGTCCCATGCAGAGGGCAGCCCCTGGCCAGGCAGGGCGGGTCTCACAGCTCCCCTCCTGAGGTGCTGTCGTGGGGGGGGGGGTCTGTGTGTCCAGGGTCTGGAGCTGAGGGCACTGACCACGCACATGTACTCCGGCCTGGCAGGACAATCCCAGGATCCAGGCAGACCACAGAGCCCTTGTTGTAATGCGGGGAGATGGCCCACTCAACGCCCTCTACACCCCACCTGGGGTCTCAGGCCCACTGAGCCCAGCTGCTCTTGGTGGGCAGCCCAGCCGTGGGGGAGAGCGGGTCCCTTGGTGGGCAGCCTAGCCGTGGGGAGGACATGGCATAGGGCGGGTCTCTTGGTGGGCAGCCTAGCCGTGGGGAGGGCGGGTCTCTTGGTGGGTAGCCCAGCCGTGGGGAGGACATGGCATAGGGGCAGGACTCTTGGTGGGCAGCCCAGCAGTGGGAAAGGGCAGGTCTCCTGGTGGGCAGCCCAGCCGAGGGGAGGGCGGGTCTCTCGGTGGGCAGCCCAGCCGTGGGGAGGGCGGGTCTCTCGGTGGGCAGCCCAGCCGTGGGGAGGGCGGGTCTCTCGGTGGGCAGCCCAGCCGTGGGGAGGGCGGGTCTCTCGGTGGGCAGCCCAGCCGTGGGGGAGGGCGGATCTCTTGGTGGGCAGCCCAGCCGTGGGGAGGGCGGGTCTCTCGGTGGGCAGCCCAGCTCTCCCCCAGCCATGGGGGCACATGTGGCATACTCACGGCTTGCGCAGGGCCATGGTGAGCAGCGCATCAGGGCCCAGCTGGGCCAGAAAGACCAATGCCTCCAGTAGCTCCTCAGTGTCCCAGGTGCCAGGCTCCAGAGTCAGCTCCCCCTCGGCAAAGCGGTAAAACTGGGCATCCTTGTCCTGGAAATGCCACTCCTGCTTCACTGGGGAAAGAGCCACATGGCAGCATCAGCCTGTGTGCGACACCGTGCGTGGCACGAGCCTGGACCAGCTCACGAGCTGCTGTGAGCCCGTGAGAGAGCAGGGCCAGCGTGAGATGGGGTAGGAACAGACACCAGGGTCACAGTGGGCACTGTCAGCGTGTGCCGTGGGGGAGGGGGAAGGGTGCGCACAGGCAATTCCCCCTGCGCTCTCCTTGTCATGGGCAGACACTTGACAGGAGCCTGAATTGGGCCCTGGCCCCACAGCACGGAGCCCAGTCATGGAGCTAGAGCTTGGCGAGGGTCTGACACATCCATGCAGCCCCTGGCCCATCCCATGGGCTCCTCACACTCCTGGCAACCCCACCCCAGCGGGTCCTGGCCCAGCAACTCCACGTGGTTTCCAGCCCCACCCCTGCCAGACCCCATGTGACCTCAGCCTGCCCCACCAAGCTCCTGGCAGTCCCTGGCACATCTCACCCTCCATACCTGGCCAAGCCCACAGCCCTTGGCCTACCCTTCACCTCCAGGTACACCCCTCCCTATTGCATCCTGGCCCACCACACCCAGACAACCTCCACATGGTTCCCAGTCCTACCCTGTGCTTGCAGGCCCCATGCATTCCCCAGCCTACCTCACCACATGGCCCCCAGCCTGCCCCACCAGACCCAACACAGCCCCTGGCCTATCCTGCCCTGCTGGGTCCTGGCCCACCACAACCTGACAAACTCCACATGGCTCCCAGCCCTACCCTGTTCCCTTGGGCCCCACACAGGCCTGGCACGCCCAGTCCCCAGCCCAGTCCACCCTGCCACGCTCCATATGTTCTCCAGCCTGCTCCTCCCAGCTTGGCATTGCAGAGGTAGCTGGAGTCCTGGAAGCACCCAGACCCTTTGTGATTCTCACCATGAGTCAGGACTCCTCCATCCACCAGCACTTGGCAAACCCCAATGGCCTGGCCCCGCATTTGGATGGACAGCCCTGCACTGAGCAGCCAGTCTACCAGCTCCTTCCCGGAGCAACAATGCCTGCAGGAGAAAAAGGGCGATGGATGGGTGAGACGAGACTAGTGACCTGGGGAATCCAGGGCTGGCATAGCGAGGCAGGAGAAAAGGTGCAAGAAAGGTTTGTGTGGACTATCAGGGCTGTGGGTGGGGATTGAGGGGCACTAGCAGAGCTTGGGGGCAGGGAGAGTGCTGGAATGGAATAGCAGGGGGGCTGTGAGTGCAATTGAGGGGCACCACCAGAGCTGCAGACAGCGGGACTCAGGGCAGGGATTGCAGGGGCTGAGGGTCAGACCGAGGGGCTCCGGCAGAACTGCGAAGGGGGGGACCCAGGGCAGGTACTGCAGGGGCTGTGGGTCGAAGGGCAGGGAAGTGGGTCGGTGGGCAGGGCTGTGTGGAGGAGGACACTTTCCCTGCTTTGTGACTGACATTTAGTAACATTAAATTCTCTCGGGTAGGAAGCACCAGGCCTGCAGGGGTCCATGATTGTCTCTCCCTTTCTGGCTTTGGGGATGGGGCCGTGACGTCCCACCCGTCTGTCCAGGCCTGGCTCCAGGAGGGTCCATACCCAGGCACACAGGAGCTGCCCTGCGAGGCTCCCTCATTGGTAGGTACTGCCATGGCCACAGAGCGGGGCCGTCCCACCTGTGGTGCCTAAGGTGGTACTTGTGATCGCGGATGAGGCCAGGACAGGAGCTCACGAGGTGGCTGTACAGGAGTCTCCCCGCTCTCCAAACCTTCTCTGCATGTGCCTGGGGGACAAACAAGCATCAGTAGTCAAGAAGCTGGGCATTCAACTGGGCACTTCCTCCATCAGCCTTTGGCACGGCTCGCTCCATGTTGGCTCTCCCACACTAAGCAGGGTCACTCCTGCTCACCATTTGGACGGGAAACCAGCAAGATAAAACTACTCCCCAGCTCCCTCTCCCCTTCCTGCCCACTGAGCTACCCAGCCAGTGTCCAGGGATGCCATGGGATGCCCTGCAGGTTGGAGGGGCATTCCCAGACCAACAGGCAGCAAGGGCCTTTTGAGTTACTTTCTTTGCCCAGGGCAGCGAACTGCCCCCCGGTGATGGGGGGGTGGCTTCCCGAAGCAGGGACTACCCCACTCACCTGCGTAAGGCTCTGCCCGCAGTCTGGGGCTGATTCGCTGTCAGGGAGCGGTGTCTGGAAAGCAACAGGACAGAGACATTAGTGTTAGACGTTAGTGCCACTCTGTTAGTGGCAAACAGGGGCTCCTCCACACCCATGCCCTCTGTTTGAGGCATGCAGTGGCACGGGGATCCCTGTTGCTAAAGAGGCCACTGTGAAGGGCAGGGATCATGTGGTGACAGCAGAGCTCTCCCAGTCCTACCCTGCGGGGGAGAGGGACCTTTCCGGGATGACTCCTGGATTACCTGGGGAGAGGCAGACGCTAAGCAAGGTTGCCCCCTAGCAGTTGTTCGCTGTTTAACAGCTGCCATTTCCCACCTTAACAGCAGTTGCATGTGTGGTGGGTGCAGTGGGCAGTTTCTTCAGTGTAAAATTCTGACTGGCGAGGAATGGACTGGAACGAGAGCAAAGCGTGGGCAGCCGGATACGGGGCCCTTTAGAACCAGCCCGTTGTTACTGGTTAGTCGGCCAACCATCATTGCGTCTTTACTTAATGCGCTGCTACTGGTAACAGTTTTTGTGGGGGTTTCCCCCACTTAAATACAAGTAATTGGTGGTAACAAGCCCGTCTTCATCACCCTGCCCAGCCAGCCCCTACTTCCTGGGGTAGGGTTATGCCGGGGCTGGAGCATTGGTGCACAGGATAGTTAGGTGAGGAAAATCAGGACTAGAACTCATGACCTCCTGACCCCAAACACGTAGGAGCTGGCCCTGCGCGTGATCACAGCTGGGACAGAGCCTCGCTCAGCATGGGAGTCGGTCTGTAGTCCAAGCTCAGAGCTCAGAACAACAGTTGGGGCAGTACATTGCCCCCTGGCAGCCAGGGTGCTGCAAACTGGCACCAAGTCACGGCTTCGATCAGACAGGGCAGAACCAATCTCTCTTGTGGGCCAGTCCCCCTCGTGTTGGCAGCCTCCAAACCTGCCGGGAAGGTAAACCGGGGTCGCAATACGCAGTACTGCTGAGGCCAAGGAATCCCAGCTGAGCCTGGCCTACCCGTCGCGAGCACTGCGGATCAGAGAGCTTCCTCCCGTGGCTAAGAATGGAAAGGGCAGGCAATTCTCTCGAGACGAGGCCTTGAGGGAACCCTCAGCATCTCTGTTTTCCAACCCCCTGGCCCTGCCCTGGCTCGTTCAGCTCTGGAAGGATCCCAGCCGCATAAAAAGCGCCAGCCCTCTGATCCTGAACAAGAGGCACGTGTATCTCGATCCAAGCCCTGCTTTGCTCTCCGCTGCCCTGCTGTTCCTCTCCCTGACCCGTTCTCCTCCGGTCCCCCACCTCCCACATATATTTATATTTGCTGGGGTTCAAACTTGAGTGGTGCCTCACCAACATTCGTGGCCTTTCACACACGCTTTCCATGCGCATTTGAGCATGCAGGCTTCTCTCACGCTAATACGCGCTGAATGCTGATGTCTCATAGACAGAAGGGACCATCATGATCGTCTAATCTGACCTCCTGCACATGGCAGGCCTCAGAACCTCACCCTGGAATAGACCCCTAACCTCTGGCTGAGTTACCGAAGTCCTCAAATCACGATTTAAAGACTTAACGTTAGAGAATCCACCATTTACTCTTGTTTAAACCTGCAAGTGACCTGTGACCCATGCTGCAGAGGAGGGGGGGGGAAACAGGGTCTCTGCTAATCTCATTCACAGAAAGTACATGGCAAATTGCACATTTGATTTTAAAATTTGCAATTTGTAGAAGGTCGGCAAGTTACACGAGACATCCAATCAGACAGCAGAAACAACAGCATGTGACTTGTGTCCCTAGCCAATGGAGCACCCATTTTCAATTGTCTATTTGGTTATGGTATTCCCAGTATCTGCCCTATGTCACGTGGTATAGTTTCCGTTCCCTGACTGGCTGATTATGTAACTACAGTAACCAACACATTGGGTGTTGCAGACTGTGTATTTGTGCAATGTTTATCTGCAGACCTGGAAATCGCTGAATAACGTTGAAGGATGAAATCTGTCAGCCCTGGCCCCTCTGCCTTGCCTACAGCATCTGGCCTTGGGTTCAACTGTTCAGCTTTCCCACAGCAGATCCTTTCCTCACAAATTCTTGTTCAGTGAAAAAAACGAATTTTCCACTGAAAAACGTTTCGATGGCAAATGTCCAAGCAGCCCTGCCTGGAGTCGCATTTGGTTGGGGTGGGGCCAATGGAATTTAGCATCTGGAGACCAGGAGAGGAGTCAGAACCCATGGTCAACCAGCTCCCTGCCGACTCCCAAGGCTCGACTCACCTCCACTAGCCACGGCATGAGACTCATTGTCCAGCCCCATCTCCTGTGCAGGGCTGCAGAGCAGACTCGTCACCGTGCAGGCGCGCCTGAGCGCCATCAGAGCCGCAGAGGGAGGGAAACCCCCAGCTATACAATAACTTTCCCACAGAGGCAATTCTCCTAATCCCAGGCAGTCAGCGGGCTCTGCACCCGCCCCAACTCCCTGCCCTGCAGCGTCCCTGCCCGCCGGTCCTCAGCGAATTCCCTGGCTCTTTAATTGTCTCGGCCCAAGAGTCAGGAAACATTTGCTGAGTTATGGTCTATTTGTCACTGGAATGGACTAGAAAGTGTTGTTCCCCGTTGGTCAAAGCAAGCCAGCCGGAGACAGAGCAGGACTGGGTTGTAGGGAACAACCCTGCACGAGCAGGGGCATTCTTCTCTGGTATATTGGTCTTGTGGTGGTGCCCAGGGGGCCCAATGAAATCCGTGCTCTGCTGTGCTAGGCGCTGTACAGACCCTGAGAGACATTGCCCCGTCATCATCCTGTGGTTCGGAGCACTGCTTGGGCTGGAAAGTGTCAGCATTTGAAGGGTTAATGCTTCACTGAAGTGCTGTGGACGTGCAGCCTCCCTCCAGGCCTGTGTTTGCTCACAAGGGTTTGCTGAGGGACTTAGGACATCAATCAGATAAACAGTACCTGGGGAGCTGGACCCTACAGGAACCAACGGGGCAAGCTGGACTGGGCCCCTTGGGGGTCGTAGGATGACCCTGAGGGGCAGCGCCCAGGCAGACCGAGTCAGAAGGGCAGCGCCCAGCCAGACCCAGGATGGCCCAGAGGGGCAGCGCCCAGCCAGACCCAGGATGGCCCAGAGGGGCAGCGCCCAGCCAGACCCAGGATGGCCCAGAGGGGCTGCGCCCAGCCAGACCCAGGATGGCCCAGAGGGGCAGCGCCCAGCCAGACCCAGGATGGCCCAGAGGGGCAGCGGCCAGCCAGACCCAGGATGGCCCAGAGGGGCAGCGGCCAGCCAGACCCAGGATGGCCCAGAGGGGCTGTGCCCAGCCAGACCCAGGATGGCCCAGAGGGGCAGCGCCCAGCCAGACCCAGGATGGCCCAGAGGGGCAGCGCCCAGCCAGACCCAGGATGGCCCAGAGGGGCTGTGCCCAGCCAGACCCAGGATGGCCCAGAGGGGCTGTGCCCAGCCAGACCCAGGATGGCCCAGAGCGGTAGCGCCCAGTCACACCTAGGCATAAAAGCCCCATGCTGCTCAAGGATAGTGTTCTCCATCTGTTTCCATGTGACTATATGGAGAGGAGGGTCCCTTGCTGGACAGTTTGTCCCCACTCGAGGGGATGGGTAGGAAGCAATTGGCTCAGCATTCCTCTGCTGTGGGCAGGTCTCACAAATCCCCCCAGCCCTGCACAAGGTCACTCGCCAGGGCGCCCGTTTCCTCCAGCCACCGGTGTGTTTACACAGCAAACATCACAAGTGCACTGGCTGCCTGAGCAGCAAGGAGCGCTGAGGGCACGGCGTGCTCAGCTCCCGGCAATGGCGACCCAATGCAGGGTGTTGCAGTCTGAGCTGGCCTCCTAGCGCCCACAGGGAGACAGGCCAGACGGGTACTGGGAATGAAGTGGGCCCCAGATCTGCAGAGCCAACCCTGCAGTGAATGTTATCAAAGAGCAACACTAGCTGCGCTGACATGGTGCTGGGTGGGTGCCAGCGCCCCGGGCAGAAGGCCAAGGTGCCACAGGGGCTTGGATGCTCCTCTGCACCCTGGAGCAAGCACATCACACCCTGTGTGGACTTGGAGAGGGCCCGTGGCAGCCTCCCCCTCCAGAATAGGAGGGCCGAAGAAGGGACGACAGCACCCGGACCCCAGTCCTGCAAGGCAGACACCACAGTGATGGGCAAGGGATAAAAACCACACAACAGCGCAGTAGTCTCTCCCTAGGCCTCCCCTCAGCCCTGGTCCTGTCCAGCCATTCTGGGCAGCACGGGTGAAGGTCCCCAGTTCATGGAGTAAAGTCCAGAGTTTCACCCTATTGCAGACAAGGCCCAGATCCCAGCATGCTGCTCTGACGTGGTCCCAGAGAGGTCTCAGGGCCACAAGGGCATCTCTAGACCCTGGCCTAGCAGGGAGGAACAAACACGTCCCTCTGAGGGCTGCGTCTGTCAGTGCCAGCTGGGGATGGCAGGGCTCGAACCTATGGGACTAGCTCACTCCTTAGTGGCAGGAGACTCTCTGGGACAAATTCTGTTTGTGCCAACGTACACCAGCAAAGACTTTGTCCCTTGTACTCTTAGCCCTAGAGTGACTGCGGCTCCTCCCTGGCAGAGCCTGCATTAACAGCACATGGTGCCGGCAGCAACTGGGCAAAGCGAAGGCAGCTGGATTAGCCAACCCCACTGCAGGGCGAGTCTGTGGGAGCAAGTATTCCTGGCCCCTGCACTGGGATTCCAGAGCCCAGGTGACAACGGTCAGGGCCTGACTCTCGCCTGTTGGAGACCACGTAGTGTCTTCTCCAGCCGGGCAGAGCAGGTGCAAACCACGGTAGGGCCTGAGCTGACACCTCCCTGCACAGGAAAACGACGCACAAGTGCTGCAGGGCAGGGGAATGGACACAGTTCTTTGCAGCCACAGATCTCTGCAAACACTAACTCAGCATCCTGCGATTAATGCCACGGGGTTAGTGCCTGGGGCTGCCTGCTCAGATCCCTACATGGTTAGTACACATTTACTATAAGGGTCAACCCAAACCTGGGACTTGCAGCAGATCCATCC